CTTATCGGTCACATGTAAGTCATATCGGTTTAGCTCTGGCACTTGTTTCCACGCTGATTCAACTGAGTTCTTGTTCTGTACAATTATTTTTGCTGACAACTAAATAACTTTATGATTCTGTTCTAACAGCAAAGTTTATTTACTGACAGAGTTGCATTCTTACACGCATGCCTACTTATATGCTTTCTTACTTGATTGCTTGCTAACTTACCTAATCACATAACAAACGTGGATACATTGGAAATCATCCAATCCAGAACCAAACCATTAATGTTATATGTCGAGATCATATTACCTTGACTAAGTAGAACGTCTCTGGTTTGTGATGTCCGATGTATTCGCAGTTTTTCAACACCTGCTTTGGAAACCGATTACTGCATCGTAGAAAAAAATATTCCTCCCCGAAAGCAGATCTGTCTGTGTCTTGTTCCTCCATATCGCATGCTGACCTCCTGGTAGGCGTCTGCTGTTTCGGCTAACAAGCGATAAGCTAACGGACTGGAGTAAACTGTGTATGTGCTCAACTACTTTGTCTAACAGGATTAACATCATTTCCTTAATCTTCACATCTACTGAGGTTCCTGTCGCCGGATGAAGAAAGAGGCATTCCTTACGTGCTCCTGCCATCTAACCCTCATCATGCATCGAAGCCAACGCTGCTTTACCCTCCCCCCCCCGTTGTTCTGGAAACTTCGTTAAGACAATTATCTCCATGCTGTACGACCTTACCAACCTGACTGAGTCAAGGTACAACAGATTTTTATGGAAAGTTACTCCTTTTTCAATCCAAACACTGGACAGGTTACCACAAGCACTTTAGGTTAGGGCGATTTTCCTATTTAACTATGACTAGGTGGCGCCATCTCTGGAGATGGTAGTCGAGTCAAGTCGAGATACTTAAATAGGCAGTCCTTCTGAATCGCTTACCTTCCTGTCTCACCTGTAGATCAGCTATGCCGGTCGGATTCTTCGAGTTATTTTTATTAACGGGCATTAAGGGAGACGCTGCTTTCGTCGAGGTGTCGCATAAGAAGCCGTCAGGCGGCATAGCCCGTTTCTCGTATTATCACCAGGACAATAATATGCTTACTCTAGGTCAGCATGATATCTAGCCAGAGACGTTGAACGGCATCTTTGAAGAAACCTTCATCTTTGCCAAGGTTAGCACTGTTTCGGAGAAGAAAGTTGAGAACAACGTTGAATGGCAAAGATGAAAGCACATCTCCCTGGCGAACTCCACAGCTAATAGGTAGCCGCTCAGATAGCTTCCCTTCGATTTCGACATCAGGTATGGTTCGTGCATATATCTTCTGCAAAGTGGAAACGATGTGCTAGGTATCCCGTAGCACAAGATTTTTCACATCGTTGCACGATGTGGAAACAGCTGCAGCCGTAAAGTCAAGGAAAGTGGCAAACTAAGACAAATGGAATCGTCGATAACTACTCAGCGGTCTTACAGTGATAATTAATTTGTGCTTAAATTATTAAATAAATTATTTTCCTGTACTTTCATAATACAAGACTTGGACATTTCATGCAACGATATAAATCTGAAAGCTCTTCCAGTTTTGTTGAACATTCCTCTTCCACATATTCTAAAGCAACCTGCAAACCAAAAAATCAAAGGCAAACCCCCAAATGTACTTAACGGCAATTTGAAACTGACAACTTAAAACTTGCAGCTAAATTCAAGTCATATTCAAACGTTTTGCTGAATCAGGGCTCATTCAGGAAGGCCACAAACGTATTTCTGGCAAACGCATTATCTAAAACCTTCTTCCCCCCCCCCACACCTGCTAACAAGGCTTTGACTTGCTGCCCAGG